GTCGAATGCCATGGTCATCGAGTGTCGCCCGCCCGTCTTGCTCCGCAGATGCTGATCAAAGTCGAGCACCTCCTTGAACGGCACCTTGGCCACAATCTCCACCATGCGCGTCGACTTCTTCTCGCGCAGCGACGTGACGCTGTCGTAGGGGTCCGGCGGCGCGTAAATGCTCCCCGCGTCAATGGCGCTCGCGCTGCCTTCGGCCGACCGGTCGCTGACCTCGAGCACGTGGTCGCCCGCGCCAGAGCTGATGTCGTGCTGGATCTGCCCCGCTGTCGTCTCGGGACAGCTAATGTGCACGAGCATGACGGGCTCCAGCAGGCCGACGCCCTGCCGCCTGTGTGCCTCGGTCAGGGGCCTCGCGGACGACGCGGTGCGCTGCGCCCTAAAGTGGCCGCCCGTCGGCCCGCCACGGCCGACGGGGTCCGTGTCGACCGTCACGGTGACGTGGCATCCCTGGATGGGCTGCTGCGACGAGCCCCCCCGCGCCATGCGGCCACGACGCGTGACATCTGCTGCGGGTATCGAACTTGAGCTCGCTGCCGTCGGCAGGGGAGAGGAATGATAATGTGAATGTGGTTCCCGTCCCGAACGAGGTCCGGCTCGAGGGAGGACTGGCGGTGATGATCCTCGAGGGGTTCGAGCACGGCGGTACAGGTGACCTTGCCGGCCTTGCCGGCGACGGGCTTGTCAAAGACGATGGTGTGCGGGTCCGTGGACGTAGTCAGACACTCTTTGTAGTCGACTTCGATGGTGCCAAAGTCGACCTGGCCCTTCATATTCTGCTTCAAGTGGTGCAAGGCCACTTCGAGATGCAGTTTACCCATGCCCTGCAAAATGAACTGCTCGGTTTTCTCGTCGCGGTTCCATCTGAGGCTTGGGTCCTGTCGTGACATTTGGTCCAGGAGCGTCTCCAGCTCCTGCGCGGCCACGTTGCCATATGGGTCCATGGCGAGGAACGCGACAGCGGGGGGGATCTCGGGGGGGCGAATCTGGATATGCCTCAGGCCCTCGGGGAGCGTTTTGGATCCCACGGTAGCGAGCAGCGTGTCTCCCGTGCGCGCCTTCTTCAGGCCCTTCATTGCCCCGATCTGGCCCGTCGACAAGTGTTGTACGACCTCGGTCTTGGCCGCTGAGATTTGGAGCAGACCGAGTGGCGACTCGGAAACGAGGGCGTGTGTATTCCAAGGGCCGCGTTGCGGTGCAGCTCACCATGATAGACACGGACGAAGCTCAACATACCCTCCGTCGGATGGTTGAAAACCTTGAATACGGAGGCGACTGCTGCTATCCTGGCGTGCTTCCCTTTTTTCTCCGAATGCTCATGGAGAAGCTTTGCAAGGCTATGCTTCCCCTCGCCAGTCTGGACATGCAGATCCGGCCTCTCATTGGGGCTGGGCAGGTAGTCGATGATGGCGTCCATCAGTGGTTCAACACCAATGTGTCGGAAGCTGGCCCCGGCAAAGACGGGAATCGCCTTGCCGTCACCGCTTCGCACGGCTCGACGGATGCCATCCTTGAGGGTTTGGTTTGTGATCTTTGCGGGGTCCTCGGCGAACAGGTCCATAATCGGTTCGTCCAGCTCAGCCAAACCCTCCACGAGGCGCTCACGCGCAACCTCAATCTCGTCAAGAAGGGCTTTGTTTCCTGCAAGAGCCTTGTCCAAAGCCTCGCCCCGATACGTGATTTTCTGCTTCTCGGTTTTCCACCGGTAGCCGACGCGATCGATGACATCGATGACACCAACAAAGTTCTCCTTCTCCCACCAGGGGATCTGACAGACCAACGGCCAGCCATTGAGCCGCGTGCCCACCTCGAGCACAGACTTGCGGAAGGATGCGCCGTCTCGGTCGAGTTTATTGACGTAGACTACGCGTGGAATGGCGTGCTCCTGGGCAGAGGACCAAACTCTCTCCGTATGTGCTTCGACTCCCTTGACGGAGTCAATGATGCAGACAGCTCCATCGAGAACCGGCAGACATCTATCGACTTCGAAACGAAAGTCTTGATGTCCAGGAGTATCGATGAGATTGATGGTCTTGGGATGAGATCCTGGGGGGCATACCTCCTGTAGGGGCCAGTTGAAGGTGATGGCCGCCGATTGGATCGTGATGCCTCGCTCTCTTTCGAGCTCGAGGAAGTCAGTCACTGTGTTTCCAGAGTCGACATCTGCAATGACTACATTAGGACCGCGAGCATCGAACGAGAAAAGCTTGTGACACGCCCAAAACTCCAGATGGACAACGTACCGCCGACACGTGCTGTGACACCACTATAGTACAGCATCCGTTCCGTGGTTGTCGTTTTGCCCTATGTCTCAGAGTCAGGCCTGGGAAGCGGCGTCCTACAGCCATGGTGTACTTACTGCGTCGACATGAGCAATGATGCCAATGTTTCTGATGTCTTGTATGGGAGCATGTGGCTGCGATAACGTAGAGCGTGTATGGAACGCCTTCTGCGTTCTGCAGTATCGTAGCAAGCTAGTTGTGACCTGGTGACATGATGCCCCCGCACGAATCTCAGAATGGGGCTGCAACCTGAGCTGCAGCTGGCGTGAGCATGGTGCCCTGGATGAGCTTCTCAGAAGCAACATGGCCCAATGCGTAACATTCGACGGGCTGCTGGCTGGCCCTTGTACGGCCTCGACGGTCCTGCTCAAGATCGTTGTTGTCCTGGATGCTTACGTGGAAAAGAAATCACGTCTGGTGGCTGAAGATGTTCACGAACCACCTAAACAGGGGTGCTCATCTTCATGTTCATTCACCCAGAAACTGGATTTATCAAATAGGAAGATGGTCAAGCACGGCATACTTGGGCTTCCGATCTGGGAAAGCGGTCAGGCCTATGGAGCGTGGGTTGTGGCTTGATCTCTTGCACAGCCACTACTAGCACAGCAAGTCAGGTACCCTTGAATTGACCCTGGAATTTGATTCTTGAGGCGAATCAGAAGCTCACCTGAACGACGCGACCAAGGCTTGTGGCCCGGGTTTTCTATTGCAACTTTACATCGTCTCTTCAGAACTCATCCAGACGATGCACACGCGCCAGCTGCGGCTCTTTCCAAGCTATTGTGAAACATACGCTCGCAAAGCACCTTCAGTATCATTTTCAGGGCAAACGCGGTTCCAGGCGCGTACAATATCGTCATGTTCGCCATTCAAGCGACCAGCCGTCGGTGACATTGTCTTCCCAGAGGCCCCGACAAGCCACCACTCTGACTTGGAGACATTCCTGTCCTACGCAGAGCGGAACAGCCTGAACACGTCATCCACCGTATATGTCGGGACCCACTACGAGTACACGGTTGCTTCAACCCTCGCCAAGTATGGCGTTCAAGCCCGTAGAGTCGGCGGTGCTTCAGACTATGGCATAGACCTTCTGGGTATCTGGAGGATACCGGAATTCCGTCAGAGGCTGGAAAGCGAACCCCTGAGGGTCATCCTACAGTGCAAGGCCGGCAGCCAAAGGGCTGGCCCCGCGCTGATTCGCGAGCTTGAGGGATCCTTTGCTGGTGCACCTGTGGGATGGCGGGGATCTAAAGTGCTGGCATTCCTGGTCAGCGAGAGGACGGCGACGAAAGGAGTGCGAGAGTCTTTGGGCCGGAGCCAGTGGCCGATGGGCTTCATCTCGTGCACCAAGGATGGCGCCGTGCAGCAGATGCTATGGAACCGAAGAGCTGAGGAAGAAGGACTTGAAGGCATCGGCATCGGCATGCGCTACGCAGGAGGCAATTCGAATGGTCCTGAGGTGGTATTGACTTACAATGGGAAACATCTGCCACTGGTGGAATCGACTGCGTGAAAGCCATGCGACATGGCACGTCGAGAGGAGGCTGCGCTCGAATATATGCTAGGGTTGCCGCTTTGAACGAACCAACCCTCTTCCGTCATCACACCAGCGCCTACAATAGCATCTCGGCAACAACTGGTCGAAACCTCGTGACTTCTTCAAAAGCGAAGCCGTCTAGCCGTCTCGTCACCTCCAACGTCCGTCGCCGAGTCAGTGGAGCTCAATCAAGTTATCAATCTTGACTCGAGCTTCCCCGCACTGCATGAGGTAGGGGGCAGTTGACCCAACCCCGCGGCGCCAGTATCCTTTACGTCCTGCCCCTCCCCCTTGTCCCTTTGAACAGCACTACATTCAACGTCGCGTGTGCGGACGATGTTACCCGTCGAACCACGCACCGGCTTAGTGACAGACCAAGCCTATGCCCTTGGCCATGGCGATTTAAAGGTCACTGGCGATGGGTCAGGCGGCGGACGTTTGGCCCTCCTTGACCCTTCTTCAGGCCCAAGTCTCGCGTTCTCGCGCCTACCCTTGTATGAAGCTGCCTAGATATAGCTACCGACCTCTTGTCATAATCCAGAACTCTCACACTCGAATCACCCCTGGCTAGTCAATCAGCCAACCATGACCTCACCAACAGCCCGCAGGCGAGCAGTCCGCATTGCGGGATGCTCCGGCGGCTTCACAGATCGCTCCCGCGCGATCAAGGATCTGGCCGCCGACCCCGAAGTTGATGCCGTCATTGGCGACTGGCTATCTGAGATGGTCAATGACCCAGCCGTTATACCCTCGCGAGCTTGACTAACGGCCAACAGACCATGACAGTGCACGGCAGCGGCAAGATCCGCAACTTGCAAGCAACCGAGGCGGGCTCCAAGGCGCAGCTCAGCCTGGAGGACCGCATGAAGACGGCCATGTATGCCGAGACCTTCCTCCAGTGCTTTGAGCCAGCCATCACGACCCTGGCCGCCAACGGCACCAAGCTCGCCGTTAATGCCGGGGCCAGCGACACAGAGCTCTTGGCCGAGGCTGTGCAACACATGGTCACTGAAGCTGGATTCGCCCTCAAGGTTGCTTGGGTCGAAGGAGACGACGTGACCGGCCAAGTGAACCGCCTCATCAAGGAAGGAGAGCAGTTTGAGAGCCTGATGCACGGCAAGAAGCTCGAAGAATGGGGCATGGAGCCAATCTGCGCGCAGGCGTATCTCGGTGGCCTCGGTATCGCCCGCGCGTTGAGCGAGGGCGCCGACATCGTCATCTGTGGTAGGGTAGCTGATGCTGCCCCCGTCGTTGGCGTGTCTGTATGGTGGCATGCCTGGAAAGATGACCAGTTCGACTGCTTGGCGGGAGCTCTGGTGGCTGGCCATCTCATCGAGTGCTCGGCATATGTCACAGGCGGCTACTACAGCGGCTTCAAGGACCTCATGAAGGACGGACGACACGTCAACATGGGGTTTCCCATTGCCGAAGTCGAGTGGAACGGCGAGTGTGTCATCGCAAAGGAGAAAAGCACGGGAGGCTGCGTTAGCGTCGGCACAGTCCTGTCGCAGCTCGTGTACGAGATTCAAGGCCCGTATGTGCCCCTCCGACCACATCTGGACCGAGCAAACCACCTGAACTGACCCGATAGACTCTACTACAACTGTGACGTCGTTGCAGACGTCTCCAACGTCCAGATGACCCAACTCGAGGAGGACCGAGTCCGCGTGACCGGCATCCGTGGGCGCCCACCACCACCGACGACCAAGGTCGGCATCACGGCACCGGCGGGCTTCCAGGCCGAATGGCACATCTACCTCTGCGGCCTGGATATGGAGGAGAAGTGCAAGATCACAGAAGACCAGATTCGCTACGCAATCGGCGACAACATTTCTAAATTCACCACGCTCAAGTTCCACCAGAACGGCACCTCCCCCCTCGACCCCGCAAGCCTCGACCTCTCCATCGTCGACTTCCGCATCTTCGCCCAGTCGCCCGACCCCGAGATCATGCGGCCCGACATACCCAACGGATTCAACCGCTGGGTCCTCGAGGTCTTCCTCCAGTCCGCCCCCGGCGCCTCCCTCTCCAACGACCTCCGACAGGTCGTCCCCAAACCCTACTACGAGTACTGGGTCGCCCTTCTGCCCCAGCGAGAGCTCAACCACAGAGTCCACTGCCTCTGGCCCGCAGCCGCCGCCCGCACCATCGCCATTTCCGCGCCCGAGACGACAGAGACCTACCCTCGGCAGCAGGCCTCGTACGAGACGCCCTCGCCTCTCGACCTCGCCTCCTTCGGGCCCACCGTCCGCGCGCCGCTCGGCAGCATCGTCCTCGCGCGCTCCGGCGACAAGGCGTCCGACTGCAACGTCGGCTTCTTCGTGCGCCACGCCAACCAGTGGGACTGGCTGCGGTCCTTCCTGACCGTCGACAGGATCAAGACCCTGCTCGGGCCGAGCGAGTACAAGGGCAAGCCGATTGATCGGTTCGAACTGCCCAACGTGTACGCCGTACATTTCTTGCTGCATGACCATCTGGACAGAGGATACAATGCGTGCTCCAACTACGACACGCTCGGCAAGCTGACGGGAGAGTACCTGAGGGCCAAGGTTGTTGATTTGCCGGCAGCCTTTTTGGAGCAGGGCCTTGTGTAAATAAGCCCGCTCCTGCGGTGTGGTTGAGGAGCTTTTGTAGCAGGTAAAAATGATGAATTAGGCATTTGAGGTAATTTGGAAACCTCGCCACATGGTAAAACAGAAGTCTCGCTGCCAAGGGCTACAATGTCACAGTGGGAGGAAGCAAGCATCGCTCAAATCGTGATAGACCGCTATCTGCCCCTGCCTGGGCAAGTCACGGACCTCGGGAGCCATATAAACCCTGGTCCGGCTGCTTCATACATCCATCCCAACACCATGATGAATCCGTTTTCGGGTGTTCCAAAAGCAAGCCCGCACCGTCCACGAGCCTTGCCGCCCTGTCCCGTCCCGCGACCTATTGTTACCGTACCACGCGCCATGGCCAATCGCTGGAGTGACGCTCCGAACCCGCTGCTGAGGCAGGCATTGATGATCGTCATACTATCTGCACGTGCTGGCTGCCCCGTAGGACTGACCAAGCAACCAAAGTCCAATTTACAAGCCATGCTCTCCGCTCAGGCGAGGTATCCGAGTTCATCCTCCTCGAGGCGCTCTAGGTACTCCTTATCGAGAAGGATCTCGATACACTTCTTGATGTCTGGAACCTTGGGGACGAACCGTGTCTTGATCTGGTTGATGGTTTCGCTGACCAGCTGCATGTGCTTCATCTTCTTCCTTGCCTTCATGATACGCACAATGGCAGACTACACATTTGTCAGTCACGGAGCGTGAATCTTGTCACAAGGTATACACACCTGAATGAGAAGCTTGCGGTCTTCCTCAATGGTCTTGTTTGTCTCCACCTCTTCTTGCTTCGCTTCCTTGGCACCTCCAAGGTTTAGGTTGACTCGGATCTTCTTGCTCTTGAAGTCGTAGTTGAGCCGCAGCTCTTTGCCTGACTCTGGCTTGCCTCGGGGGAGATTAGGAGCACCTTTGCCTTGAGAAGGATTGCCAGTGCCTGGTCGAGCACTTCGTTGCTTAGGAGCGTTGCGCCTGCAATGTCATCGTAACTATGACTGTCCTTCTCGTTGAAGAGGAGGAGAACTGCCATCTGGTAAATGGACACTTGGAACGTGTAAGGTGTCTTGCTTGCTTAACAGTAGCCGGCCTTCAGTTCG